CAATATGCATTCTGGCAAGAAGAATTATCTAGTGCGACACAGTTACCCAACTTTTCTAGCAGAAAGCCTAACAATTGATTTTAATATAATCATTCCACTTCATGTCAGTGGAAAACATAAGACCAAGAAGGCGCAATGCGTTGGTCTCCTGAAGGTTAGCATCAACCATATTGATGGAAGGTAAAAAGGGTTCTTTGAGATGATTAAAAGTGAAGTTCTGTTTTTGTAGGCAAAAAAAAAGTTATCTGTGATGATTTAAAGACGGAGGAAAAAAGGATAAGAAGATTGGGGAGGGCCTGCCTCTCTAAAAAAATTTACTTTCGAAATTCTAACATATACCGGGGATTTGGCACCGACAGTAAATATACTACTGTTAAGATATTTATCAATCTTAACTTATTACAGGTCAACTGAAACAGACTGTGTTGGATCAATTTCTCAAGTGCATTTAAATTTTTTGAAGATCGTAGGTGACAGGAAAACAAGAAACAGTATAAGAATTCCACAGACAAGAAAAAAGAATCTTTTAGAATAGAACTTGGGATTACATCTAGAAGGAAACCGATGAGATCTAGTTTCCAATCTCCTAGTACGATTAAATTCATGCAGTCGAGGTACCAAGTGGAAGGGCTCATAAGAACAATTGCCATGGAAATATTTGTATAAAAGACAGAGGGAGGACACATTGGGGACAGGGGGTGACTGAGATTCCAGGTCAGGATTGATAACATTACAGACACTTCTTTGGATTTTGTCAAGAATCTCGAGATATATAGTCGAAGCACTAGACTATATATTGAAGCAATATTCAATGCATGATAGAATTCTAGATTTATAAATGGCCAAGATGCATTCTGGCAAGAAATATTGTCTGGCCCAACACAGTGAACCAACTTTTCTAGCAGCAAACCTAGCAATTGATTCATTATTGTCACTTCACTTCATGTCGATAGAAAACATGAGACCAAGAAGGCACAATGAGTTGTTCTTCTGGAGATTAGCATCAGCCATACTGATGGAAAGCAAAAATGATCCTCTATAATAGCTATAACATAGTAATTTCATTTTGGAGGCATTAAAATTTGCAAGCCATTTCTTGCCCCAGTTAACAACTGATTGGAGGTCATTTTCAAGAGTAGTCTCCAACTTTATTTTATCAGAGCTATCGGACTTACTAGTTGTGCCACCAGCATAAATATCGTAATTCCCCATGTATAATATGCATTTTTTTTCTAAAAAAACAAACAAAATTAGGGGTATGAACAGCTACAAAAAATCTTTAAAAAAAATGCCATTTCATAGGTTGATTTCAGTTGTGAATATGGCATATATGGCAATTTGACACTAACATTTGGCGATTACAATCCCATAAGGATGTCAAATACAATCATATGAACCAAACAATATTTATAAATCTAAAAGAAAATAAGAATTCTTATAAAACTAAATTAGAATAATATTATTCTATGTTTAAAACCATTTCTTTAATAAGAGTAGGAAACACTGACCATAATGAAATTGGAGAGGTACAATTTATAGGGTTTGATTACAAGAGGTGCGTATTATGCATGAGTAGAAGTATTTTCCTACACTTTCAGCACAATTTTAGGGGTGTGTATTATAGATGAAAGTGTATTATACAGTATAAGAAAATCAAAACTTAGGTTATTTCTTCTCACTGATACATGGGCCGCTACTCTCTTTTGACAAATATAGTCATTTATCTGTGAATATTCATTGCAACTAAATGGGATGCATGAATCCATCCATCATGGAAAATGCAACTGAGCAATGAATGGATGTAACAGTGTTCCACATGTTTAATTTCTGCTATCTTTTGAGATGTTAGTCAAAAGGATAATAAATTATACAGGTTCTATAGCCTTGGTTGGCAACCAGTCTATGCAGAAAGAAATGGCAATTGTCTGTGGAAAAAGTCAGTCATGAATTGAAAGAGACTTGATTGCCCAAGCGTAAATCACGTATGGCACTTGGAACTGACTGAATCTGTTCTTGGTCTAATCTTTGGCTTAACTACTCACTATTAAAAACAATCCCCAGTTTTTCATATTAGTTGATCTATTGAGTTAACCCCATATAAAATAACATACTTCCCTAACAAGCTCACCTGCCACAGCAAACATTAACTACCATAATTCCCCATGTATAATATGCATTTTTTTCTAAAAATTAATAAGCAAAATTAAGGGTGCGTATTATGGACAGCTACAAAAAAATCTTTAAAAAATAGCCGTTTCATAGGTCAATTTCAGTTGCAAAATGACTACTCACCACAAACAAAGGACAATTTGACACTAACATTCAGCGACCCCATAAGGATCTCAAATACAATCATATGTACCTAACAATACTTACAAATGTAAAATAAAATAAGAATTCTCATAAAACTAAATTAGAATAATATTATTTTGTGTTTAAAGCCTTTTCTTTTTAAATAAGAAATGCTGGGCATAATGAAATTGGAGAGGTACAATTTATAGGGTTTGATTACCAAACAAGAGGTGCGTATTATGCATGAGTAAAAGCATTTTCCTACACTTTCAGCACAATTTTAGGTGTGCGCATTATACATGAAGGTGTATTATGCTTGGGAAAAATGCGGTACATGAGTTGAAAACTGATGACATTGGGAAAGTCATTGATTATCAGAAATAACAAAGGTTCAAGGATAGTGCCATGTGCGAAATGACATATGAATGTGAAGGATCTAGAAGAGTGACCATTCCATCTGATTCTCATTACACAATTTGTTAAAGATTGAATCAAGTCAAATATTTGGCCAGAGACAACATAGCCCGTCAGCACATGAAGAAGGCCAGCATGCCAAACCCTGTCAAACACCTTCAAGTTATCTAACACCTCAACCCGAGCCTTGCCGTTCTTATTTAAATCTTGATAGAAAAATTCAGTAATAACAGTTGACACATAAGCTGTTGATCTAGAGAAGCGAAAGCCATGTCGTTTATCTGAAAGAAGGCCGTGCAAAGTGAGATACCTATTTGGAGTTGATTAGAATCTATTACTTTGCCAAAAAGAGGTAATGTGTTTCCAGTTAGTATAAGCAGCAAAGAAAACAAACGCCTTTACCTGACGAGCCATAACACTTTTTAGAATTTCAAGATATACAGCAGAAGAAACAGATAGCAATATTCAATGCCCAGCCAAATGGTAGATTTATAAATGTGCAAGATGGATACTAGTGAGAAAAGTTGTCTGCCATGACACAGAGAACCAACTTTTCTAGCAGCAGACAACAATGGATTCAGTATAATCACTTCACTTCCTGTCAGTAGAAAATGTGAAATCAAGAAGGAGGAACGAGTCACTCTTCTGGAGGTTAGCATCAGCCATACTGATGGAAAGCTTAACATAGTAGTTTTGTTTTGGAGGTGTTAAAATTTGCAAGCCATTTCTTGCCCCAGTTAGCAACTGATTGGAGGTCATTTTTGAGATCAGCTGCCAATTTTATCGGACTTACTATTAAGACAGTAAATGTGTCATCAACCTCAAAACCGAATTGGGGGGCTGATACATTCGGAAAGTCGTTGAAACAACATCGGTCCAAAGATAGAGACCTGGATGTAGACTCATTATCTCGGACAACTCAAGACTATTAATACTAGGGCTAAAAGCTACAGTTTTTTTTTTGTTTTTGTTTTTTTCACCCCAAGCAAGGTGGAAGTGCCATTAGTACACAAGGGACTACAGAGAGTGTAAGTAATGGAAAAGACTGGATATTGGGGGGGAAGGGGGAAGGAAAGGATAAAAAGAAGAACTGAGGAGGATAAAAAGAACAAAGAACAGGAATCAAGGCAACAGAAGATGTCAGTTGACGTTGCATTTAAATTTTTGAAGATTATAGTTATTAGGGAAGCAAGTAAGAAGAAGTTAGTTCCACTGTCAGAAAGTATGAAAGAAGAAGCTGTTGGAGTAGAAGTGGCGGTTACATTTAATTGTTTCGACAGTAAAAGGGTGGGACCTAGACGCCAACCTAGTAGCACACTTAAATTCATGCAATTTGGGCACCAAAGGAAATGGTGAATAATAAACTGACAACACATTATCTCAGAAATTCATACAACTCAAAATTCCCTCCAACCCCTTTCTTACAGACAAAACGTCTCAATGCTCTATTCCTAATTCCATGGAGAATTCTCAAATGAACTTTCCTTAGTTCCACCTGTTCTAGCCTCCACAGCTCAGATCCGACATGCCACACCCATTGTAGCCAACCACCCGCATTCCCTTCGTATTCCAATGCTGAGATGTAAGTTCCGCTTAAGCAGCTTCTTCCCATGAACTACTGCTTTGTGGAACTGACTCCCAAGAGGATGCTTCCCTGATCACTACAATCTTAACCTGTTCAAGTCTAGGGTTAACCATTATGTTTCCCACATATCCCCATAAACTGAGCAATTTACTTCGTAACCCTCTACCTCGAGTGGCTCTTGGGCCTTATACAGGGTAAACATCATTTGTAAAAATAAAAGATTAGGGATAAAAGCTACAGAAAAATGAAAAAAGAAATGGTAAATAATAATAATAATACATTATCTATCTTGGAAATCTGCACAACTCAAGATTTATTTTTAAGAGGGATAAAAGCTAGAGAAATGTGATAAAAAAAAAAAAAAAAATACTAATTAGAAATTAATAAAATAATTGACGATGTTTCATCTTATAAAATGAAAAATCAAAATGCCACTACAAGTTAATCTATTTTTTATCTTTTTTTTTTTTTTTTGTCAGTATGCCAGATGTTAGGAAATCCATCGCACTGTACACGATGTTTTCATTTGGTGTGATCGGATTTGAAGATACATTCACTATCTGGGCCTCGACAGAGCCACGTCTAGGTAAGTATTCTGTGATGATAAAAATGGTATAATTTTTTTTTTTTTTTTTTTTTTAAAGAAATAACGATATATAATAATGATATAGATAATATATAAATGAGGTTTACAGTTATATCATATTGAGCCAGTTCCTGTACGATCACCAAAGTTAAGCAACATCAAACATGGTTAGTACCTAGATGGGTGACCACTTGGAAATATCAGGTGCTGTAAGCTTGGACGTGCAGATGGTGTAAATTGCAGAAATGTTAATTGGAGAGCCAAGTTCAGATTCTCTCTGAATTCATTATATTCACTTGTATTAGTAAAATCATTATCTCCCAAAAAAATTCTTATAATTCTTACAGTTAAGCAACATCAAGCCTTGTCAGTAAAATCATTATTTCCCAAAAAATTCTTACAGTTAAGTGATGTCAAGCCTGGTCAGTGCCTTGATAGGTGACCACTTGGTAATACCAGATGCTGTAAGCTTGAATGTGCGGATAATAGCTCATAAGCCTCGTTTTAACAAAGGATGGAAAATGCAACATTGAAATCTGAGGGCAGATTGTAATGGTAAAAAATGTCTTGCAAAAGCTAAGCAAAGTTTTAAGAAACAGGAAAATTTGATTTTGATATCTCCAATTTGTAATTTGCATTTTGGGCTGCCCCTTTTGCTAACAACCATTCATTCTTTTTTCTTTCAATTGATGTTTAATCCTTTCTTCTCACTTTCCTTCAATACCTTCTGTAGAAGTTTTTGTAGTTTTTTTTCTATGTCTGCTATCAACACTGTGTCATCTGCATATCTTATGTCAGTACTTTGATGGGTGACCACTTGGAAGTACCAGGTGCTGTAAGCTTGGGTGTGTGGGTGGTGTAATGGATAATGGCTTGGAATTGTTAATCAGTGATTAAGTTAAGCAACGCCGGGCTTGGTCAGTACCTACATGGGTGACCGCTTGGGAGTACCAGGTGCTGTAAGCTTGGGTGTGTGGGTGGTGTAATGGATAATGGCTTGGAATTGTTAATCAGTGATTAAGTTAAGCAACGCTGGCTTGGTCAGTACCTACATGGGTGACCGCTTGGGAGTACCAGGTGCTGTAAGCTTGGGTGTGTGGGTGGTGTAATGGATAATGGCTTGGAATTGTTAATCAGTGATTAAGTTAAGCAACGCCGGGCTTGGTCAGTACCTACATGGGTGACCGCTTGGGAGTACCAGGTGCTGTAAGCTTGGGTGTGTGGGTGGTGTAATGGACAATGGCTTGGAATTGTTAATCAGTGATTAAGTTAAGCAACGCCGGGCTTGGTCAGTACCTACATGGGTGACCGCTTGGGAGTACCAGGTGCTGTAAGCTTGGAGGTGTGGATGGTGTAATGGATAATAACTCGTAAACATTGCTTTAACAGAGGATGGAAAATGCAACACTGAAATCTGAAGGCAAATTATAACAGTGAAAGTTGCCTTCCAAAAGCTAAGTAAAGTATTAAGAAACAGGAAAATTTAATTTTGGCATCTCCAATTTGTCTTGGACTATTTTTTGCTAACAACCATGCATTCTGTCTTCTTTCCTTTACTGACCTTCTGTCTGTAGTTTTCTTTCTGTGTCTGCTGTATATCTTATGTTGTTAAGCTTATGGCCGCCAATAATAAATCCTGGTAGGACTTCTAATTCTCTCAAAATCACCTCGCTGTACACACTGGTTAAATCCAGTGAACAGTTTGGTATATTTATTGAATTCATTTTCTATCTATATGCAGATGGTTTACTGCCAATATAGATTCTGGATTATTTTAATCCCCAAATACGTCAAGGGTACTTAGCAGATCTGTGTAAAAAGAAATGCTGTTTAATCTGAATTTAATTCTTCAAAAACAGACTTTGACAGAAAACTAATTTTGTAAAGTAAAAACCATTAAACAAATTGGAAAGAATATGTTGAAAACAAAATTGACAAAAGTAAAAACCCATCAGTCTCGTCAGTAAGCATTTTGAGGCCATGATCAATAAGAAGGTCATCGAGCATCTAGAAAAGAACAAACTCTCCAGCGACAGGCAGTGTGGGTTTTGATCAGCCTGATCCACTGTTGACAGCTTTGCTACCAACACTCACATAATCAGTGAGGCTCTTGATGGTGAACATGCCACGAGGACCATAGAAGGGTCTTCTCGATCATAAGATCCTTCCTAACAGGAAGTTTCATGAAAGTGGTTATCAATGGCCAGTCCTCCGGAGCCCTAAAGGTCCACACAGGCATCCACCAGGGGTCACTCCACAGAGCAATGCTCTCTTTTTGATCTATATAAATGATCTGCCTATGGTCAGAGATTGGCAACTAATCTCTCTTCCGATCATGCACAAACTACCTAATGGGTAAAAACTGTCTAGTTACATTCAATGCCTTAAAGACCTAGCTAGTCACATCCCAAGTGTAACTCGTACATACGATCCATTGCTAAGTATGACAGTAAAATGGTTGGCTCCCTGTACATGTAAAAGGACATGGCACATAAAAAAAAAAATGCTCATTTAATACAAGGCTCAAGAGCCAGTCATGGTTGAGTTACTGAAAGAGGTGAGGATATGTAGGATAGATAACCTTTTCAAGTCATGAATTAATCATTAAGAAAAATATTGACAAAAGTACAGACCCATCAGTCTCCTCAGTAAGCATTTTGAAACCATAATCAATAAGAAGGTCGTTGAGCACCTAGAAAAGAACAAACTCTCCAGCGACAGGCAGTGTGGGTTTTGATCAGCCTGATCCACTGTTGACAGCTTTGCTACCAACACTCACATAATCAGTGAGGATCTTGACACCAAACACACCTTGAGGACCATAGAAAATCCATGAAGGTAGTTATCAACAGCCAGTCCTCCAGAACCCTAAAATCAATGCAGGCATCCCCCAGAGGTCACTCCTTGGAACAATGCTCTTTTTGATCTACATAAATGATCTGCCTAAAAATATACTCGGTTCATTTGTAAACATCTATGCTGAAGATATGACTATATATGGGTGCACTGCTAAAACTCTAAATGGTCAGAGATTGGTGACTAATCTCTTATCCGATCTTACACAAACTACCTAATGAGATAAAAAAAAAATATTACCAACAATACATTTTTGAAAAAAGAAGAAAAAAAAAAAAGCCCAGCAATAAAAAAACTCGTCGGCAGTAAATAACCCATTGAGATGTTGATATGCCGTAAAATGAACCAAACCAAACCAATCTAATGCTCTCAAGAGAATCAAATTTTGGCATTAAATGACACATAGGGAGCTGATATACTGCTAAACAAACAATAACAATAATAACACTCAGAAGCTTTGTGGATGTGCAATAACTTTTCTATCATTTGATCTGCTCAAACCAAAAGATTTTGTTAGAAAGTAAATAGTATTGAGCTATTATGCAATAAATGTCTTCTGTTTAGCTAAACTAGCTACTGGGCGGTCTTTTATAAACTGATCACTGGACAGTCTTTTCTAAATTCATGTTAGGCTCAGTTTTCTCCATGTGACCCCCACCCCCCCAACTTACAGGACAATGTTGTCATTTTCTTTCTTTTTTTTCCCTCAATTTGTTGCCATATTCACAACATTTTGGCTGATGTATGCTCCACCCTTCTTCAGGATCTGTCTCTGTTTCTTAGATGAGGTGTTATAATTATTTACATTGTACAAACTGTTATCCTCATCATTGTTGCCATATTTGGATGTGCAGATGGTGTAATGGATAACCTATCAGAATTGGAAATTGGAGAGCTGAGTTCCAATTCAAATTGGGTTCATTATATTAGAATTAGTAGGATACAGGACTTATGGCTATATCATGTTGAAATACTGGTTCCCATACGATCACCAAAGTTAAGCAATGTTGAGCCTAGTCATACCTAGATGGGTGATCACTTGAGAATACTAGGTGCCGTAAGTTTGGATGTGTGGATTGTGTAATGGATAACAGCTCTGAATTGGAAATCGGAGAGCTGAGTTCCAATTCCATTTGGGTTTGTTATACTCTATTTTTGGTCTGATCTGCTTCTTGTAAAGATAGAGTATAAAAGAAAGTCAGATACTTTTGGGAGCACAACAAGGAACCAAGCGGAAGAACAGAAAAGAAAATTAACCTGACAGTAAAATAATTTCCGGTGAATTTCTATATGTGTTTTTAGCATTTTCTGTGTTACTGTGTATACAATAATTAAAGAGAATACAAGTTAGAATACAATTGTTTCATAAATCTTACCTGTGATTTCGGGGTCTACATCTCCACCTTGTATGTAAATAATTGACAATGCCTTTCTGTCATAAAATAATTTCCAGTGATCTGCCATAAACGTTTTTGGTATTTGCTGTATCACTCTAAATAATGTTTAGAGTGAATGTAAGTTCTTTTGTTTTTGTTTTTAATCAAGTTCACCCCAAGCAAGGCAGTAAAGCCACCGAGACGCAAGGAGTTATTGGGCATAGAAGAGTTAGAAACAGGAACATTATTAAGAAGCGAGAGCAGAGGAAGAGCAATCAAGAGGACAGCAGATGGCAATTCACATTGCATTTAAATTTTTGCAGATTAAAGTTGGCTGGAAAGCATGAAGCCAGAATTCCACAAGCGAGAAGTGAGAGAAAAGAAACTGTTAGCATAGAATTTACAGTTAAATTTAGTCACCTCAACTATAAATTGGTGAGATCTCATCACCAGTCTAGTACTATAATACTATAGCGAAGAATGATGTTTATTCCGCATTACGTACAGAAATGTGGCACAAGGCTAAACATGGGGAATGGGGGGGAAAAAGACGGTCTTCATCTGTCTTAACATTAAACTTAGCTAGCCACAAACACTGACCCAAACATACAATATTCCTAACACCAAAACAATGCATTCTTACTTACCTTTCTTAGTACAGTCACCATAATACCTCATTGTCTCTATGAAAATCCTAACTAATCCACATATGTACAATTCATTAACTGTGTGGGGAGGGGAATAAAACAACTATTTAAAAGCTAGCCCCAATGAGGATTTACAATATGAAAACAACTATTTACAGGAAACCAAATAAAATAATGTTAGTAATAACCCCCCCCCCAATCCAAAGAGTGATATTTATTTCTGCTGTGTACAGGAAATGTGGCACAAGGCCAAAATGGGGAAAAGGATGGTCTTCTTCTGTCTTAACATTAATCTTAGCTTGCCACAAACACTGACTCAAAGATACCACAATATTCCTTATACCAAAACAATGCATTTTTACTTACCTTTCTTACTACATCATCCACCATAATACCTCAGAATCTCTATGAAGTCCTAACTGATGTATAATTCATTGTCTGTCGGAGGTGGGGGATAAAACAACAAAACCATAGTGAAGAGCTCATCTGAACAAATACCACAAAAATATTTATAGAAAATGCAAAGGGTGTCAACTTTAAAATGGTGTGGTGGGGGAGTGACTGAAAAATTTATTTAATACATCCTACCAATGTTATTATGGGGTGCCTTAACAAGTAGTGAGTAAGAAAAAAAAAACAAAAAATTCAAAATAATTCTTATCCTAATTTGTTTTCCAGATGGCCTTGGCTTTTCTACAGACCAACTTGGCATTGCAACAGGGATTGTTGCTGTCCCCATCATGTTTTTACAAGTGTTCATTTTTGCACCAATGGCAAGAAGATTAGGAATTTTAAAGGTAAGCAAGAAGTCTGTCATCAAGTAAAGATTATGGTTGCCAGTTTGTACCTGAGTTTAAAAGCTGGCACTAATAGTGAAGTGAGAAAGATTATATATGTATTTATATATCTATGCATGTAAAAAAAAAAAAAAAAAATGGATAAATTCATAGCTTTCTCAAATAGAGGGAAACGGAGACAAAAGAAAACAGCACGTGACATACCTGGTAGACTTGGGCAGGTAGATGACAGAACGTGATCTGAGGAAGGAACTTGTTAAGAGCTGTTAGGGATAGAGTGAGGTGACGAGCCATGATTGCCTACATCTTGAAAGTACATAATACATAAAAAGAATACATAAATTCATCCCAAAGTAAAATAATATAATTATTAATTACATTATTTAAAAAAAAAAAAAAATTACTCAATTTTGTTTATTAGACATTAAATTACATCACTTAGCATCTTCCATAATTAAGTTACATCACTTAGCATCTTCCATAATTTACCCAGACTTTTCAGTTAGCCTGATTTATATTTGTGAGTTTTCTTAAATTTTAAATATTTTGGAAAACTAATGACATTTTGCATTTGTTTATAAATTCATGTTGCAAAATAAAATCCTTACATTTGCCTTGATGAAGTTCATCAGATAAGTTTTCCTTTTGTCTTGATTCATATATATATATATATATATATATATATATATATATCCAGGTAAGATGAGAACAAATAGAGTACAATTCCAACATGCCTAACATTTAATTTAAAGAGGGCTCGATACAAAGTAGAGCAATATTATTTATTTTAGAATATTATATCGAAAATATGTCAAAATCGCTACACAATTGCAGTCGTGTTTCAATACACATACAACACACTTCATCAGGTGATTGTAAATAACTGCCAAGGGAACAATTTAATTAGATTTAAAAGCAAAATACAATCACTTTTTATGAAAAAGGAAACAAAGAAAAGAGTAGGGTCTCTCTCTTCTCTCTCCTCTTCTTCTCTCTCTCTTCTCTCTCCTCTTCTTCTCTCTCCTCTCCTCTTCTCTCTCCTCTTCTCTCTCCTCTTCTCTCTCCTCTCCTCTCTCCTCTTCTCTCTCCTCTCCTCTCTCCTCTTCTCTCTCCTCTCCTCTCTCCTCTCTCCTCTCTCCTCTCTCCTCTCTCCCCTTTCTCTCTCTCTCTCCACTTCTCTCTCTCTCTCTCCTCTCTCTCTCTCTCTCCTCTCTCTCTCTCTCTCTCTCTCTCTCTCTCCCTCTCTCTCCCTCTCTCTCTCTCCTCTTCTTTTATCACTATGATCAATTAGTCAAGGAGTTGACTTCTTGATAAATGATCTCCCCCATACCTCACACAATGGATAATGCCTGAAAGCCATTACCACAAATTGACCCAAGCCTCGAGACTGAAATTTGGTCAAGGAAACCATCAATAATTGCAAATCGTACATTGTGACATAGTGTCTCTCCAATTGTGTAGAATGCAGTCTTTAATGCAAAAATGTTTGTCTATTTTTTCTTTGACTTTTAGTCTCCATTTATTTTCAAATGTTTTTTCCTTTCTGTTTTCAGGCATTTTTTATTAATGTCTCATTTCTCGTCATCACTGTTACACTCTGCCCGATCACACATCTTTTATATGACAGGTAAGTTCATTTTAACTTTGCCTCATAATTTGTTTCTTTTGATTGGGGGGGGGGGATTGTGGTGAAAAAAAAACAATCAAATGTTGACCTCACAGCAGCAAATGACCACATCAAGTGTCTTGGAAAGGTTTATCTTGAGTTTGATTTCTTGGAACACTTGCTAGCGAATGTTGATTTTTCCATTCAAGATCATCCTTTTTCCAACTGTGAATGCCTACATTATTGGCAAATGATCTGAAATTGGGATGAAAGCAGTGATGGTGCCTATATACCTAATTCATCATAAAAATACAGGATGTGGAATTGGTAAATACTACATACTACAAATACCCCTGTAACAAGATGATTTCTCACACATCCTTAGGAGATATGTAAATAAATTCCTTTTCCTTTTAAGTCCACTTAGTTATTTGAATTTTTTGAGTCAAGTTAAGAGTCAGTGTTTTTCAGGATTTCTGTCTCCAGGCCCCTATAAATTGGCAAACATAAAATGTTGTCAATGATTTTAGATAATCATAAAAGTAGTCCTTTGAAGAAGATGACCACCCAAAAAGCCAAATGGGTGTTCGCCTGTCCAAGAAGGTTCCGATAAGGGCATGGCACCCCAGCCAGTATCCATATAATGAAAGATAGGCAGGAAGTGATTGACCAGAGGCCAGAAGAAAAGGGTCCAGCAGTCAGGAAGGTCCCTGTTGTGGATTCCGAGATGAAATCTGGTCTCCAATGAATGACAAACGCAGGAATGAAATATAACAAATAAATGTATTTACACAATAATACAATTGGTAATACAGTTAGTAGATCCAGAAACGTGGTCAGTAGCAATAATAATATATATATATATATATATATATATATATATACACAGTCTGGTAAATCCAGTCTTGAAGTAGGACTTCCTTAGAGTCTACGTGTTCATAACTGTGACTTCTACAAGCGGTTACTTCACACTATTACTCTACCTCCAACTCGATCACAATCTCTGCTCTGACTGACCCTGGGTATTTAAAGGCAGCAGTCCGAGTACACACTGGTAGAGTCCACTTGTATGAAAAAGGGGTGGACCCCATAACAGTCCCAGTAAAAGTTAGAGAGACAAGCAATCCAGTTGAAGGAAAAGACTGACGGTTAAGTGAGAATTCGTATTGTCACTATTTCCCCACTCCAGAGAGTCTTGAAAAGCAATTGTTATTTTTTTTTTTTTTTGTTGAATATGATCACAGCTAAGGAAATAAATCTGTGAACATAGCGAGTTGATTGTATATGCAGGTACAACTGACCTTGGATGTCACAACAGGTTATGCAGTGAATGACAAGCAAAGAACATCATTGCACACCAGTGTATGGGTCATTTGAAACAAATTTAGTATGGGATATATGAACATTGAATATAGAACAGGCTGCACTAGGATAGTTTCCCACCACACTACTAGTTACTACAAAACCAAAAAAAAAAGAAACTAAAATCTTAAGTCTTATTCTTAAAGAGCCTTATCAGATTGAGATATTCAATATGGATTTCATGCCGTGTACGTACCAGACTCACTCTGACTCACAGGGTGGATTAGGGGTCAAGAGGGGCAGTGGAAAACAACACTTAACATACTTAGTGAGCTTGACTAAATGGATGGTGGAACAGGGCTTAGGAGAAATAAGGGAAAAGACAAAGTTTAATTAGACTCTACAAGAGACAGGAAGTTGTGTCCTGAGGGGATATGGCACATAAAGAAGATTAAAAATGGCTTCAAGTATATGAAACTTGTAGCTCATAGCAGGGACAATCCTTCTTTGAACCTTGTGGATTGGCAATACAAAATCACAAAGAACTTTATCACACAATAGTCACCACATCACTTGAGGACTTTCAACACCAGCAACAACTAAAATGGATAGCACATCTAACTCGATGTCCTGGGTAAGACAATATACTACATCCAACAGCAAGGCCTCTGATCAGGAGGTTTTGAAGAGCATAGAACCACCTCTTAATTGTTGGTGTTCCCAGGTTTACCCTGACCTGAGGTGGTAGCACCTGTTAGGGTCCCAGCTATGGGCAAATAGTTAGGCCCCAAACTGGGGTCAAAATACTATGAAAGTGTAAGAATAGGTTTTAATACCAGCAATACATTTTTAAAGGAAAAATATTACCAGCGATACATTTTTGAAAAAAAAAAAATTATTGCCAACAATACATTTTTGGAAAAAAGTATTATCAGAAATACAAATCTTGTCGGCATTAAATAATGCTTTGAGGTTGATATGCCATAAAACAAAACAAACCAAACTTCTAACTCAAGCAGAAAATAATGACATAATCAAGATGTTGACTTTCCAAACAAAAAGTTAAAAAGTAATGGAAGGGATATGAGTGGATGTGAGAAATCTATTCTTCTGAAAAAATTTATAATTTATAATTTCAACTGCTGGAATTGCTATGACTTCAACTGCATTGGCCAGGTAAATAAAGAATGACAGTAACTATGAGTTTGAACCTCTTGGAGGTACCATATTTGATGGTACTTCCATCAAATATGGAGGTACCATAATTGATGGTACCTCCATCTGGCTGCTCAGTCAATAAATGCCAAATATTTCCTTATAAGGAAACAACTAATATATATTATTTCACTACCTGATTCAGGGATTGAACTCACAACCATTAGAACCAGAGCATATTATCATAATACTTTCTTATTTAGCAGGAATGAACAAGAAACTGCACAAGAACAAAATTTAAAGAATCAACACACATCCCGTATCAATAAAAAAATAATGGATACCTGAAGGTGTTCAGAGGGTATTTGGCCGAAACATTATGTCTGTAATAATTTAGAGGAGAAAAATAGGTTGAATAAATTTTTAGTTTTGCTAATTGGCAAATGACGCCTATTTTTGCAATGTGTCATAAATTTTAAAAGTTGTCTGTTTTTCACATTTTTTAAAATTTTTTTTGTTCTGGAAATTTTTACACTTTCTCTTGTTTCATTTTTCAGACCCGTCTATTTATGGGTAGTCCTGATGTTACTACTCATCCCCCAGCGTATTTGCACAAGTTGCTGTTTTTCAGCCACTTCCCTCCTCATCAACAATTCTGTGACACCAAATATTGCAGGTTCTGTGAATGGAATTGCTATGACTTCAACTGCATTGGCCAGGTAAATAAAGAATGACAGTAACTATGAGTTTGAACCTCTTGGAGGTACCATATTTGATGGTACCTCCATCAAACATGGAGGCATCATATTTGATGGCATTTGAAAAATCCCTTATTTCTTAAAAAAAAAAAAGGCACAGAACGTAATTCTTGAGTCTTATATACAAAATTGAGGAATTTGGTAGGCAAATGGTGACTTATTGTTTGTTTATTTGTTTTTTTTGGGGGGGGGGTTTCAAATTATTTACATTGGTAATACACATTTTAATAACGTTTTTCATAGCACATTACTCAAGTACAAATTTGTCTGGATTTCTACAAAGAGTTGTCATCATTTTACATTATTTGCATTTGGATGAATATCCTGATCTTCATTGGTATATCATAAGCCTGGTGTGAGGGTCTTACTCTAGAATCTATGATATTATTATAGACAAACGTATGGTTGCAAGAAAGAAATACGACAACAGTAGAAATAGATTTACGTGGTTTATTTCAACATGAACGTGACGGTTTGGGACAGCTACCTTGTGGTAAAGTTCATAAGCCGGCTTTCAGATCTGGTCGATCTCTCATAGTAGTTCACACATGTTGATGGTGGTTGATGCTCCCCTGCTGACAGCTCCTGACCGTGACAGGTCTGTTCCCTGGCCACCTGTTGTACTTCCGTATGACCCCTTTTATAGCGTTTTTTTATGGCTTAACAGGCTCGAAAAACGAAGCGAGTATAATTAGGAGGGAAGCATTTTTATTGGACGAAAAATAGAACACTTTAATTATTATTTTATTTTTCGACCGGAACTCGTGTGTCGGGAACATTTGTAAACGAAGATAATGATCATTTTGTGACGGGGCTTTGTCCCGTTCACATCTGCCTCTCACTCTTGAGTATTTGCCTGTAAATCAACCGAGATATGTCTCATTGTATTTTATAACAATATGGTGGAAGGAACTCTACTACATCTCAATTTTTATAAGATAGTAATCATTTAAAATACAATATTTATTTTACCTAATTATGTACAAAAAAGGATCATATGCAATATAGGTGAACAATTCAACTATAAAAAATGTAAATAAATACAATGCATCTAAACACAAATTAGTGACATGTCATAATAGATCATTCCATCTTATATATATAAATCAATAAATGTTTTGTGACAATTTTTAACATCAACTTGAGATTTTTCTTGTTAAAAAAAAAAGTTGAATAATTTTAACACATTATGGATAAAAGACAGTGAATTTTATATAATAATTTTTTGTTTTTTAAGCATGTACAAAACAAATTTACGAATTTGGATGAAAAAAAACATATCCCAGAATGACATCAAAATCCACAAAAATTTTCCTGCTTTAATAGTTGTGCTTAGTTTAATCTATGACATATATAAATGTAGGTAGAAAAAAAGCAAATGATGATAAAATAGTGACGTTTCAACCAGGAAAGTCAGGGAGTTCAGGGATGTATGCACCAGACTTGGTATATCAAATCAGGTCCATACTAATTCAATAATTTCTATCTGAATTTCTGGGATGAGGAATTATTATTTACATTCAGATTAATGCCCTCATTTCCCATCATTGTTATGATGATAAACTATATCCATGTCCTGGGTAAGACAATAAACTACGTCCGACAGCAAGGCCCCTGACTGGGAGGTTTTGAGGAGCATGGAACCACTTCTTAATTGCTGTTTTTTCCAGGTCTACCCTGACCGGGGGTGGTAGCACCTGTTAGGGCCCCAGCTATGGGCAAATAGTTAGCCCCAAAACTGGGGTAAAAACACTATGAAAGTATAAAAATAGGTTTTAATACCAGAAATACTTTGTAAAAATTATTACCAGCAATAATTTTTTGAAGAAAAAAAAAAAATTTATTACCAACAATACATTCTGGAAAAAAAAAATATTACCAACAATACGTTTTTTAAAAAAAAATGTTACCAGAAATGTATTTTTGGAAAAAAAATATCATCAGCTACATATATACTATTAGTGTTGTAGATTTTGATCTAGTGCAAACAAAATATTACCAAGTGAGTAATTTAAAAAAAAACTTTTTATGAAAATAAAACCATCCAAGATTGCACATTTCCTAAAATGTTGGATTGTACTCAAAAAATATGAGTAATCAAAAAATGGTTCATATATATATATATATATATATATATATATATATATATATGTATATATATATATAAGCAACTTTTTAAACCAAACTATTGCTATGAATCTATTTCAAAAATTTTGTTGGCATTAAATGACCCACTGAGGTTTTGATATGCCATAAAACAAAATAACCAACAAACCCTCATTTCCTTTAGTATATTCCATCAGATCTGTACCAATTTGATAATTTCTGTGATGAAGACTTATAATTATTTACATCTGGACTAATGCCCTTGTCTTGGTTGTTGCTATCAGCCTCCATTGGTATATCACATCAAGTCTATACCAATTTGACAATTTAAGTCTGAATTTCTAGGACGAAGAGTAATCATTGATATTATTTACAACTGGACTAATATCCTCATTTTTGTTGTTTTGATCAAAACACATTGGTAACAGTAAACAATAACTGAGCAGTACTGAAAATAAGAACTAGACAAGATATCCCTAGACATGGTGCAGTGGAACGAGAACAGTCTACCTCACTAGATTAAATAAAGGGTTCAGTTTGAAATCCACTGAAGGTTGCTCAGATTGATAAGCACCTGATGAAGGTTGGAAAGCACAATGGCCGAAAGTTAAGAATGAATGAAATAATCAAAGAATGAGATCTCTCCAAGTATATTGACTAATTTGTTTTTTATGGTTTATCGACCTTTTGCAGGTTGTTTAAAATATTTTTAGTGTGTGTGTGTGTGTTTCTTTTTTTTTTAAGATAATAATAATTTAGTCGGGGAGAAGAGGTGGACTCGCACCTTTCCCAAGGTGCAGGTGGTGTAATGAATAATGTCTCAAAATCTGAAATTAGGAAGCCACATTCCAATCCAGTTGGGTTTGTTATTTTCACCTATGCACAAATATCCTTGGGAAAGGTATAGATCCAACTATTCTTCCCCCAGCTATGGGTTAATTAATAGGACTAGGAGTTGTAAGTCATTATCTCTAAATAATTCTTATGCCTAACATCCTAGGTATGACAATAAACTACGTCTGGCAGCAAGGCCTCTGATCAGGAGGTTTTGAGGAGTGTGGAACCACCTCTTAATTACTGGTGTTCCCAGGTCCATCCTGACCCACAATGGTAATACCTGTTAGGGTCCCAGCTATGTGTAAATAGTGAACTCCCAAACCAGAGTCAAAACACTATGAAAGTATAAAAATACATTTTTATGGGAAAAAATTACAGCAATAGATTTTAATAGTTAAAAAAAAAAAAAAAAAAATAGATATAGAAAAAATTCTAGAAATGGATTTTAATAAAAAAAAAAATAAATTACCAAAGCAGTCAAGAAAATTAAATTTTGGCATTAAATGACCCATAAGAAGTCAATATGCCGCTCAACAAACTAAACCAAACTTACAATCTAAAAATATTGAATAGCTTTAAATGAATGGCAAAGGGTTGATGAGCAGTTAAAACAAATTTTTCCTTCTTTTTGTCCTTTCGTTCTTTCCTTTTTGTCCTTTCTTTCTTTCCTTCTTTTTGTCTTTCTTTTTCCTTCTTTTTGTCCCTTCTTTCTTTCCTTCTTTTGTCCCTTCTTTCTTTCCTTCTTTTGTCCCTTCTTTCTTTCCTTCTTTTGTCCTTCTTTCTTTCCTTCTTTTTGTCCCTTCTTTCTTTCCTTCTTTTTGTCCCTTCTTTCTTTCCTTCTTTTTGTCCCTTCTTTTTTTTTTTTTTTTGCTCTGCATTTTTTATTTTTTCTCCTTTATTTTTTTTATTTTTATTTTTTTCTTCCTGTGTTCTTACTTTTCAATTATAATTCTCACATCTTATATTTTTTTCTCTCTCCTCTCCACAGAGCATTTGCACCAACATTTGGGGGCAGTCTATTTGCCTGGTCAATTAGCGCGGATGCAGCATCGATTGGCTCCCCATTTGATGTGAACTTGGCATTTTTTGTTTTTGGACTTGTTTTCTGGTTCTGTGCTGTTCTTGGAGTGACAATTCCAAACCGATTAAACAAACAAAAGAAGAGAACTATATCATAAACCAAACTTAGTCCATTACATCAGTGACACTTATCCTCATGATCAACACATGTACATAAAAAAAAAAATCTACACATATATATTACCTGTGGGTATTGTGGATTTTACAGTTACTAGAAAGACCTCCCCTGAGAGAGTGGTCGTTTTGACTCTATGCTTGGAACAAATTTCCCAACTTTTCAACCACCAGTCCGATGCTCTAACGACTCATAATTGTATGTATAGTTCTGTGTACATAAAGATGTGTGAAAGTGGATCGATAAGACTATGGTCTGACATTTAGTTATTATGAGTTGAATTTTGATCTGAAGTTTTCCCTGTATAATGTTTGTTCTACATGATTGAATTTTCAATGAATTGAGTGCATTGACAAGAAAGGAGACTGCTGAAAAATAAATATTTGGTGTGTAAAATAAATGCTTTTTTTTTTATCATTAGGCTACTGAATTATTGATGCAATATATATATATATATATATATATATATATATATATATGAGAGAGAGAGTGTGTGCAGCTTTTATATTATATCATAAAGAAGTAGTTTGTACAAAGAATTAGCAATGTTAATGAGATTAATGGCGAAATCACTTTGCTAACAAAACTTAATGAGACATTAACTTACTATCAATTCTTTGAATAATATGATCCTTATATTTGAGTTGATGTCAGATAGAATTGATGAGCCATGTACTTTCAACAATTTCAAATTTTCAGGGGGCAATTATGTAAATTCAGAATTTTAAATTCTATGGAAAAATACTAAAACATTTTACTCTACGAATTGGATTAAACTTAAGTCCATGTTACTTTAAATGAAAATCATATATAACAACAAAATTTTGTGGATTTATCACATAAAATTCAAACAATTCTCACTTTATAGATTTGAACAAGAACTCTAGTGGCATAGCATCTCATGCTCAAGAATAATATAACTGTCAATAAGTAGCATATTTCAAAAACAAAATCTTTCGGTTTACACTACACATATTTCATCTTAGTGTTTTACCTGTATATGGAAAAAAATTACGCCCCGAAGATAACAATTTGAAATTGTCAAAATTCCATCTGACAACAACTCAAATATACGAATCGTATTATTCAAGGAATTGATAGTAAGTTAATGCCTCATTAAGTCTTATTAGCGAAGTGATTTTGCCATTAATCCCATTAACATTGCTAATTAATTCTTTGTATAAATTACTTATTTTATATATATATATATATATATATGAGAGAGAGAGAGATAATGATATAATTTTTTATCTCAAAACATTATTGGGGAAATTGTATGACAAAGTGTAAAAGTTTACTTTAGGCCCGTTTCATCCTTCAGGACTTCAGCAGACTAAATTTGTTATGTCGGTAGGACTACACATACGCATGATAGTGGGGTGCTGGGAATTTCAGATATTAATATAAACATTTTTCGTGGGTACACATGTTTGAGCTGCAATGGCTGTTTTTCTTTTTATTTTCTTAAACAGTGAAATTGACAATAACCACCTTAGATCAAGAAGTCCTACTAAAGAAAATTTGTGCTTCCTAACAGAAATCAAACGTGTATCCCTTTTTTCAATCCACTTCTATTCCTATCAAGAGGTACATACTTCTTTTCGTAGGACTTCTCCATTTAGGCCAGTCGTTATTAATTTCACTGTTTAATAAAAGAAAATAAAAAACAGGGATAGAAAATCAAACAGATGTCCTGACTAATATATATATATATATATATATATATATATATATATATATATATACTTTCTGAGATGAGGTACTATGAACACCGCTTACATTATTCGGACTATTGTTCTCCTCTTTGTTGCCATATTCATCACAACGTTTCAGCTGTTTTACACTCCAGCCTTCTTCAGGTGGTTGGAATGTCAAACTGAACCCTTTATTTTGCTCATTGGGGTAGACTGTTCTAGTTCCATGTGCCACATCTAATGGATGTCAGTTATCAGTTATCTCCTGCTAATTCGCAATTTTTGCTGTTATCATTGCATGTTTTTTTTTTTTTTTTTTTACCAGAGCTCATACTGCAATTTTCATTATTATTATTGTTATTGCTCTTCTCTTTTATCCACTGGGCCATGTGTCCTTAAGGAACTAAGAACAGTCTACCCAACAAGTGAAATAAAGGGTTCAGTTTGATATTCCAACCACCTGAAGAAGGCGGAACCTACAACGGCCGAAATGTTGGGATAAAAATGGCAACAAAAATTCAGACAATAGTCCTAATATATATATATATATATATATATATATATATATATATATATATATATATATATTATGTGTGTATGTATGTATATATCAAAATAAGGAAAATAACATATGGAGTAAAAATCCACTGTTCGTAGCATTTATTTTTAAAAAAGTGCTCAATACAAAGTAGAGCAATATATTATTATTTTATTATAAGAGTTTATAATAAAACCATTTTGAAATCATTACACAAAAGCTTTCATGTTTCAATAATATGATTGTACTTCTTCAGGCAAGGGTATGTAACTGGTGATTACATACCATGCCTGAAGAAATACAATCATAGTATTGAAACATGAAAACTTTTGTGTAGTTTATTTCAAAATGGTTTTATTATGATCTTATATATATATATATATATATATATATATATATATATATATATATATATATATAGTGGAACCTCAATTTAATGCACTTATAGGGGGGATTGGCCATAAAAGCCATTTGTCTGTTAATTTGAAGCACTTGTTTTGTGGCCTAAAAAAAAACAGTACATTAAAAAATTATTGTAAATAAATGTAAATACAGTATATATGCATGTGTATTTTATTTTTAAGTTACTATATACCTTTAAATAAAGTGTGAACAGTTTTACAGTTAAATCCAGACTCCATTAAAGGTTTTAATACATTATGTTATATTTAGTGTTTGAGTTGCTATGCTTGTTTTTTTTTTATTATTTTCTTAAATGGTGAAAGTAATGACAGAAGATCAAGAAGTCCTATTAAAGAAAGACTGGCTAAAAAAAGCCATTTTCCAGATGGAACAAAGGGGTACAGGTTCAATTCCTTCTCACTCCAGACTGGTTGCTTTTAACCATTTGAAATCCCGGTGTTACCAACACAAAATGACGCTTACCAAATATTCCAACAACACTGCACTCTTTAAATTTTTCTGGGAAATTAAGATTGATAACTACACCCCCTTGGAATTACTTCACTAAAGCCAAAACTTTTTCGTGACAAGGGAGATAAATGCAACCTGTGCCTCTTAGAAAAACCTATCATCCTTAAACACATTGATGACTCCAACCTGCTGAACAAATGAAGTGAACATGCATTCATAGAAAAAATCTTTCTTCTCAAATATTTTGATTCTGGTTAACCTCTAACAATTCCTAGAGTTACCCCCCTTCGTCTCGTCTTTATTTTAGTTTTCGTTTTAACTTTTTGGTGAATAACTTTACTTTTTTTTTTTTTACCACATCCCCTTATATATTTTCACTATTATTTCTCTATTTTTACACTTTACTTCTCCATAAATATGCCATTATGTTTTTAATATTACTTCTATTCCAATATTAATAACATTATTATTCTTTACATTATTCAGACTATTGTCCTCATCTTCGTCGCCATATTTATTACAACGTTTCGGCCATTGTACGCTCATACTCCATCAGGTGATTGGAATGTCGAACTGAACCTCCATATTTTTGGTATATCGGCTCCGTACCAATCCTTCAGTATCTGTCTATATTTCTGAGATGAGGTATTATGTACATTATTTACATTATTCGGACTATTGTTCAGTTCAGTTCGACATTCCAACCACCTGAAGAAGACCGGAGCATACAACAGCCAAAACGTTGTAATAAATATGGCAAAAAAGATGAGGACAATATTCTGAATAATGTAAATAATGTACATAATACCTCATCTCAGAAATATAGACAGATTATTATTCTTAGTTTTATATTAATTTTATAATTATTTATTATATATTTAAATTATTCTTATATTTATAAATATTTATTATATATTTTTATTTTTCTTATCTTTACATCTATAAATATTATTATTTATATTTTTAATATATATATTTTTTTTTTTTTATTTTTTACTTATTTATTTATAAATATTTATTACAATTTTTCTTATCCTTATCTATTTAGATTTATCCCCCCTTGATTTACTCTCCCTTTATGTTTAATAGATTTTTTTTAATATTTCGACGTCTCCAATTTTAATTTGAATTTATTTGTTTTTCAATTCTTATCCTCACCCTATAATTTTGTAACTTGAATCCAGAATTATACCTCAGTATTAGGTTTAAATTATAAAATTTTTAAACGTTGAATGAATATACTATATAACGCTGCTTCCACAAGACCCAGAATTTTTAAAAATCCTAATGATCATAACGAACAGTTCATCACCATTATAAGTACCTGAAGATTGTATTTAACATGAAACTGAGTTGTAGTATCGACATAATTTTATATATTCAGCTATAGAGAAGCATCTGGTTAACAACGTCTGAATTACTGTTTATAGACAATCTTCAACAATTTTTCTTGCACAATCATTTTTGTTCACGAAACATAACTTAACATAAACAATGACAACATATTATGAAATGGATTAAGTCCAACAATTATTTAATATATTTTCTGTTTATATGTTATTTTTATAGATACAATTTATTTAAGTAACTGCTGTGTTTTTAATTAAACAGTATTAATTATATTTAACAGCCTGAATGTTTGAGAAATTTCGTAGAAAATATGCATTCTTTGACAGGAAATGAACCTGTCTGGCACAGCATGTCAGGTCAAAATGACGCTTTCTGTGATGTGTTTCACACTTTAGGACTTCATTGGATTAAGATTTCTTATGTTGATATGACTACTCACATTGATGCTGGGAATTTTAAAATAACTTATATATATGTGTGTGTGTGTGTGTGAATTATTTTCAGATAGTGTATCGGAAAAGGATACAC